AAGTTTTGAGTCGTGCGAAGGGGTCGTCCTTCTCCCTGTCTCTTATACACATCTAGATGTGTATAAGAGACAGGAGAGAGAGAGAGAGATGGGTGCATTTGCGGAGGAGGGGATTGGGGAGGGTGAAGTTAGTGAAGAAGAACCGATGGGTGCATTTGCGGAGGAGGGGATTGGGGAGGGTGAAGTTAGTGAAGAAGAACCGGTCATGATGTTAAAGGAAAGGCGAGTTGAGGGATCCCAGCGGGGGCCATCGCGGACATCGGCACAAGATTCTTCAGGCAATACTACTGACGGTGACGATGCTTCGCTCGATGCGTACCCTGCTGACAGATGTCATACAGGGAGTGCAGGTCTCGAGCTGAAGAGAGAAGAGGGCGTAGGAGGGTGTTCTGTTGATGCGCACCCTTCGTACAGGTCTGATCGGAGTGCAGGCATAAAGGCTGAGAGAGAAGGTGGCGGATCTGGTTGTTGTTTTCTTAATCTTAATTGCGATGAAGCTGGGGATGTAGATGGGGATGTAGATGGGGATGGTTTCACCACGACGACGAGCTCTACTAGACGACGGCATGTCGTCAATGGCAGTGCCCGATCGCCGGTCGATGGCCTACTTCGCGAAGACGTCAAGAAGATGCAATCAGAGGACGGCGGCAAAGGTGGTATTGTAGGTAAGCAAGACGAGAAAGCAGCAGCAGCAGTGCGCTTTTTCTGCAAGCCTTATTCCACTACTTTGTTCGACGTTCTTATTGTGTTTATGTGTCATCTGTTCCCTTTCTCTGTTTTCGCCGCCATTTCGGAAATACTGCTCTTGAAATGGGCTGTCGGGAAGTATGGCTCGATCGTCTTGACCATCTTCTTTTCCTTCTCTCTCCTTCTTATCGCTATTCCCGGCTACTATATCCCTTCTGTGCGGGTCGTTCTTCGTTGTCTGTACGTTCCGCTGGCTAGGTACGTCAAATCTATGGCTTTTATCGTGTCGACTGATCTGGCCGTCTCTTCTTCTTCTCCCTCTGTTTCGTCCTCATCTACCTCTGTCAATGAGAGTTGTCATAAATTTGAGGACAAACGATCCTTGATCTTTGCCATTCATCCACATGGACGTGTGTTTTATACTCCCACGATGTTAGCTCAGCTGCACGACGTGTGGCACGAGGGCGCTCTCGGCCGAAAGAACGATCTGTTCATTGGCGCTAGCAGCGGCTTTTTCTATGTACCGGTCCTTCGGAATCTGCTATATGCTGTGGGCGTGATTCCAGTCAGCAAATCTTCCGTCGTTAGGAAGTTGCGTGCTGGTAATGACGTGATTATCGTTGTCGGCGGAATCAAGGAAGTGTCGTTGGGCACGAGTGACCATGAAGATGTGTTGTATCTTGTCAGAAGGAAAGGATTCATCAAGCTGGCGATCGAAGAGAACGTGGGTGTGGTGCCCGTATACTGCTTCAACGAGAATAGTCTGTTCAAGCACGATCCCAAATGGTTCTTGAAATTCTGGGAGAAAGTGAATCGGCTTATTGTAATTGGGGTGCCTCTGTTCAGAGGGGTCTGGAATACGCCCATGCCCTATCGAAGGAACATCCTCGTAGCGTTCGGTGAACCCATGTTTGCCAAGGAAGGAGAGTCAACGGACGCGTTTCACGCTAGGTACATGCAAGAACTCAAGAACCTTTATCACAAGCACGTTGCTCTTTCAGGACGTCCTGATCACAAGCTAGTCATAGTCTGAGGTTTTCGCAGAGGATTCGTTCTCGCGCGCGCGCGTGTGTGTGTGTGTGTGTGTGTGGCTCAATAACATTTATCACAAGCACGTTGCTCTTTCACAGAGACACACACACACAGACACACACACACACACAAGGAGAGAGAGAGAGAGAGAGAGAGAGAGAGAGAGAGAGAGAGAGAGAGAGAGAGAGAGAGAGAGAGAGAGAGAGAG